ACTGACTCTAGTATAGTTTTGAAAAAAAGATTTGGTTGTAATCGTATGCAATGGAAATAACATTAAGTATACCTAATCGAGGATTAAACATGAAGGATATGCTGATTTTTTAATCAATTATGGATATCTGTTGATCCTTAGGCATCGGGAATATAATTATATATTTTCTGTAAAGGTTGATTCAAGTTGTAACATGCCCGATAATTAACTAAACTTATGTCCACAAACTATTTTTAACAGCAAGGGGACCAACAAAACTGGATTTTCTTTAACATGTGATGATCTGATATCCTACAGGGTCATAAAGCAATTTACTGTAGGAAACAGCAAGAACTGCTAGTTGATGGTGGCTAATGTAGACACAATTTTAAACATGCCGGTTTGTGAATCGAGAACGATTACTAAGGCTAATTTGTTCTGACGAATAAAAGGAAGATGATAGATGGGAGCGTGAGGGTTGATGTGCACGCAGGGAACAAGGGAGTTATGTTTGACCTTGAATCCATTTTCTTTTTCGTGGTGCGACTACAGGTGTAATATATGGATTTAACCAGGGCTAAAGGCGAAGCATCCGTTTATATACTTCTAATAAAAGCAATAAACTTGAAAACGTATTATCTTAAAGCCCTGAAAAAGAAATATTCAAATCCCTACTTAACATTTGGAGCCGTTCATTTACCATCCAGTTTGAGAAAGGGTTTCAGTTTTCCCGTTGAAACACATTTGAAATGAATAGATACTCTCCAGCCATCGAGCTTTAGACTTTAGAACCCATCATACCGTAGAGGGTACAAATCAAAACGAAAATTTAATTGCAAAACTCAGCATAGTAATAAATGCACGAAGTCGTCCATGTACAATAATAACAAACCAAAAAATAGTTTGCTTTTATGCAGCTTTAAATATCCACAAGTATCAAACTGCCATTAATGACTGAGGTAATGGTGAACTTCTCATTAATGACTGATGTAATGAATGGGGATGAACTTCTAGGCCGACGTTCAATTAATTAGCTGCACTCTGTTTTCGTCTTGTGGTGTGTTGTGTTTCGATTGTTCAATGGTCAGGGTTACTCCGTGAAACCAAGTGAAAGTTTGCTTCTGTTTTCAGACATCTTCTACAGTATGTTGCCCAGTATCCGGACACTTCAGTTTAACATTGCAATAACTTTCCTTTGTTAGTCGCAAGAGCTCTGAAATTTTGCCCAGAGAAAATCTATTTAGTCCTTAATATGACGAAAGACAGTTTAACTTTTTTGCCTTTGTTTTCATGGCGAAATTAATATTTGCAGAGCTTCTATGTTGTCCAGTATCCGGACAGCTGGCCCAGTATCCGGACACAACAATAACAACGTATTTATTGTACACAAATTTCGACAGGCAAGCAACTTATAAGGTTCTCTTGCACTTGCAAAGTAATCTGGCAATCGATTCAAAAAATATAACCTAGCATCGTGAAATAAAACATAACAAATGACTGGGGTATGGTGGGGAACGCGAGCCGGGTTGTTAAATGGCATAATTCTTACTTCCTTGTCTAGGAACTTTTTTACTGATTTAAGGAAGACATCCGTGGACATGTCGAAGCCGCGGTTTGCTAGCTCCATTAGCCAATCTCCAAACGACTTTTTTTCTTCATTTTTTATTTTAAAAAAAACCTTGGGGAAGGGACCTCAATGCGACGGTCAAAGCTCACTTTCCTATTTAGTTCTGACCTGCAGTGTTGATTTCTTCAAGCTCAGTCCCTACAGACCCTACAATAAGCCTGCTTTTCTAGCACTAATTCCTCCTTCTTTCACATCTCTCAATCCCTTTGTGACATTTTCAGACCGTTGCAACCCCATTCTAGCAGTCACAGAGGGGAAAGTATGAGAATTCCAGGTTCAACTCCGACGCTTTCGGTTATATATAGAAAATGCAGTCACGGCGAAACAAGCGGCGCACACGAAATCAAGTCGCCTCCGAATTAGTGAAGAAAATTTCCGTACGGAGTTGAGTACAATTACATTTTACGACTATATAATATATCCTAAGCTTTAATTATAGTTATAGATATGAAATAAATCTTTTCCGGATAATGTACGCAGCTAATTCATCGATTCTTTACAGCAACTGTCCGGATACTGGGCACCTGACATCAATACTTAGTGAATAATTCTGGGCTCCGTTATTCCAAACAAATTGAATTTCAAGAAGAATTAATAAACTTTCTGAGAACCTGACTTCTTTTAGTATCTTCAATTTAAGTATAAAACCGTTTCTCTGAAAATATTTTATATTACCTACCCTTTTCTGAGCAGCACTAATTTTACTGCGCAGTAAACAGCGTAATTATTAGCCATGAAATGTTTATTCACCTGAACAGAACGGCGTCTTCTGCGACTGTTTCGCAAGCTTTCAACTCGCCAAAACTTTCATCTTAAAGCCGAAATATTCAGCTTCCATTCAAAATACTTTGTTTACCGATAACTGAAAAGGGTGTCTCAAAAATTGAGTTTTTGTTTTAAGTGTCCGGATACTGGTACCGTCCGGAAACAGGGCAACATACTGTATTCATTTTTCGTTGCCTTTTCCTCGTAAAATAATTTAGCAAGAAGAAGGAAAACATACTCCTGATGGGGTCAACGTTCAGTGAATGACTGATAAATATACTCTTTCGGTCATTTATTAGATAATTCAAACAAATTAACCAAGCGTGTAAGGCCGATTACACCGCGCACAATTTTCATTTACGAAAGCCACAATGTGTCGTACGAATGTCGTGGGTCTAATTTACACGACACGATCTGTCGTGAAGTCATGACGCATGCTAGTCGCGCACGATAATCTTAAGCAAAAATCGTACCGTCTAAATCAGCCTAACACGTCTGATGTGTCGTTAAGATGTGTCGCCTGCTCTAAAAAAACAGAATTGAGCCCGTGATCAAATAAAATGCCAGCGGATGCTCTTGTTTGAGAGCTGTCAATTGACCTTCATAAGCAAGGCGAATATTCGAATAAATGGACGGCGAATATGACAGCGTAGTGTAAGATACTTCATTCCGGCTTGTAGCGGGGGCGAAATGCCGAATCGTGTACCTGAGCCAACGTTGTTAGTTTTGTGATAGTGGTCTGCACATGTTCCATTTCGACAACTGTCAATTGACCTCGATTTGGCTTGCACATATAACTTTAAACTACTGACAGCACTCCGCGGTGAAAGCGTAGTTTCATTTTTATGTCGGTAAATGTGATATATTACAGAGCTTACATGTAGGGGCAAAACGGCTGGTATTTTATCTGAGGCCGCGAAATGGTTATGTGATATTGGTCAGCGGATGTCTGAATTTGACAGCTGTCAATTCATCTTCATAGAGAGGACGGCTTACATAACTGACAGGCTAGTGCCAATTTGTGCAAGATCTAATGTGACCTTTGACATCGGCTTACATGTGGTGTGTACACGGGTTAGCAAGCGGGCGTACGCTACGTCATAACCAAATTTTCTTGCTTTCATAGGTTTCCAATTTCTCTTAGCAATGGGACTTCGCCGCGAAAGCGCGGGCGGAAGCTCCGCTATAATTTCCAACATTTTCCTTTTTACATTACCATTTATGTAAGAACTTGTTAAGGCTAACTTGGGAAAATGTAAGTTCTTAGTCGCGGGTTTTTACTGTATCACACTTTTCTCTTTATCTTGATAGAGGACAGTGGATGGCGATGAAGTAGATTCTCACTCAAGTTTAGTAAAACCTTTGCCCACTGCCTTCAAAACAGCTGGAGTTGTTGTGCTATTGTTCATCTGGTGGCAAGAAGCATGTAATTGTGCCCTTCGCAAGAAAATCAAGGCTCCAAACCCCAAGGGTTGGCCCATATTTGGCAATATGCTTCTTAATGGAGTACACCTTTTGTTGTGTAACTACATTAAAAATCATGGCAAAGTGTTTTCTTTTAATATGTTTGGAAAGCCAAGTCTTGTTATTGCTGATCCTGACATCCTGAAGAAGATTCTGGTGAAAGATTTCTGGAACTTCCGAAATCGCGTCGCGGTAATGAAGACTGAAGAGCAATTGCCACAAGCGTTTTTCTTGAACACGATGATGCTTGGAGGCGCATCCGCGCCACGCTTACCCCGTCGTTCAGCGCAAAGAAAATGAAAGGGATGGTATCCCTGATCGAAGATAGGTTGAGAGATTTATGCAAACATTAGAAGGCGTTGTCAATACAGGAAAGTGGGGTTATTATTTGAACAGAACTTGTTCTAAATGGCCTTTTTTCTGCATTGTTACATTCACATCCAGTTAAAGGCAAGTTCATAAATCATGAGACTTCGAACGAACAGAATGCCGCCCATGCTTCAAATTTAAATTTCAATAAAAGCTGTGAGAAATTTGTTTGATTTCCATTCAGTTGGAAATCTTAGAAAAGTGTTCAAATTTAATGAAAACGCTAGTAAGGGATAGTTTCTCGTAAAATGCGCTCAATTTTATAACTCCCCTTACTTTTTCCGCTACGATTCAGAACAGTTTAAGCACAGGAGCACGGGAGGCAAGTCTTCTGAAAATGTTTAAGGAATTTAGTTTAGCATGAGATGAGTTTTCATATGTTAAGTAACTGCTTTCATATAAACCCTCCAACGCGCACTAAAATCTGTATCAAAGAACTGTAATTTTGTCAGTCAACTTAGTTGACCCAACTCATCTTGGTGTTGGCTCTTATTTATCTGTTGAAGCCGCAGACCATTCTAATCAGTACTTTTAAGCGAATATGTAGACATGTTAGACTCCTTCAGTAGCGACGCTGGAAGTTAAACTCTCCACCGCGTTTATTTAAAAACGTGAAGGAGGTTTTTCGCACTCCTTGGATAATGGACATTTTAAGACGGCTTCCTTTTGGAATATATCTTTTGAGGATTCTGGCACAAATCATGCGCACTCCAAGCTCAGTAACTTCAAAAAGCTCGCCTCAGAGATCTTATAGCAAAGGAGAAAAACTGGGCCAACAGGAAGACAACTGGATTTGATGCATTTGATGCTGACAGCGAACGAGGATTCAACTGAAAAGGGATCATCCAAACTCACCGATGAACAAATAAAGGGCCGGTATCAGATCTTTCTTTTCGCACGTTACGAAACTTCGAGTAATACTTTGGCCTATATCATGACCTACCAGCTGGCCCTGAACCAGAATGTAAAGGACAAATTAAGAAAGGAGATCAATGAAGCAGTCAAGAGAAAGCCTGAAAGCTCTCTCTACGACCTTTCTCATGACATTGATTATCTTGATTGTGTTATAAATGAATCACTGCGACTAAATCCACCTTTGGCTCAGGTTAACTGTGAATGTGTGGACGACAACAAGTTTAATGACATTTATATCCCCGCAGGACCACAAGTCATCATTCCTGTGTATTTTCTGCATCGTGACCCCGATGTCTGACCCGACCAGGAAGATCCCGAGAGATTCCAAAGCCCCGCCAAAGCCGGACACTCGTCTCCCATATCAGTTTTTGCCATTCGGTTTAGGCCCAAGGTCCTGCATTGGAATGAGATTCGCTCCGTGGAGATCAAGATTGCTTTGGTGAAATTCTTGATGAAGTACAAGTTTGTACGTTCACCTGAGACCCAGGTACCTTTGAAAATTCTTGCTGGTGTCACTCTGATCCTAAAATCACGTGAGAATAGAAAAGGTTTAGAACTATTTGCTTCGGCTTTCCTCTTCTATTTTTGTGTTTGGTGTGTCTTTCTCCGTTTGATAAGCTGCTACCATCAGTTTTCTAAACTTTGGGACCTAATGTTGGTAGCTGATATACTCGATCCAGGAAAAGACATTTTAGAAGACATTTTAAAACTAGAATCACCTGTTTGCGAGAAAAAAGAAGAAAATTATTTATTGTCATCAAAATTTAAAACTAAAGTACAATTAAGTATAAACTTGAGACGAATGATTAGATTAATTAATTTACAAAACGTTTCAATAAATTTCGCTATGAATTTCTAAAGTAGACGAAGCTCGTGGTAATAATAGGAATGGCAATCTTGCATCCTTATTTGCTATTAATGAAACTTGATAAATTACCGTTGTAAATGGCAAAATCACAACATCATTGTGTCAGACAGATATGTCTCCCAAGCACTATTTCTACAAGAAAACCAAAAATGAACTTTTAGGCTAACGAGTTGTTGAAAAGCATAAGCAAAAGTTTCTCCATCCATGCTTGACCTTTGGTATTTGCTGTGTTATACCTTCAGTTCTGTTCTCACCTATTGTTTTGAGTGGTTATTTTTATGTTTCACTCAGTGTAAATTCGGTGGTAGTCAATCTCGCTGTTTGAATTGTCATGAGTTTTATGACTCAGCTTCTTTAAGTCTTCATTTAACACTAACATTCCACAATTTGGGTCCGAGAAATTTGAAAGAGTGTTTCCTATGAGGAGGAGTATTTTCACCTCGAAGTAACTGCGACTTGTTTGTACCTCTCAGTATAAAGTTACGTAACGAAATTTCTTAGTCGAGCTTGCTTTAGCAGAGCGAGACTCTAAACATGCAGGCGTTTTTTTTCGGTTTTTCCTCAAATGGTTGGCCATGGTCCCAGGCGTTCATAGCGGAGACCGTGGAAACTGGGGACAAGAATCGTGACGACTTTTGTTGTATGCAAATGAGTCTCAGTTTTCGGCGATGACTGAAATGACGCATGTAATTTTATCACGTTTTTAGCTGTTCGGATGTAATTTTCCCCGATTCGAGGCCCTTGATTTTCGTGTAATTATGCACGCGTATTAAAAAGTAAATATCTCAACGAGGAAATATTATATCGGAGAAATCCTGTTTTGTGGTGTATGGAGGCGTTACGTTTCTCAGAATATTGTGGCAATTACTGGAAATCTATTGTTAAATAAATTCACTTTGTTGTATGTATTTAATTGATCGATTTTCGTAGTTGTTAAGATGTGACGTTGCGTTGCACTTTATAAGTACTCGAGATATCAATGATTTAACCTTCGACACCCGTCAGACGTTACGTATATGCCATCACGCACTCTACTTACAGCAGTTCATGTCGATCCATGTCCATAGAAAAGAAATCCCATATCGAGCTTTTCCGGAACGGGTCGGTCCACGAATTCTATCGCTGGAAAGTGTTGATTACTTTAGAACAAGTGATTACTTCAGTGGTCGAAAAAAAAAGAACAATCTTAATGAGCAAAATTTCGAGGTTTCCTGGAAAACTAGCATCGAGGATCGGTTAGAAAAACTTGACATAAAATCAATTTAAAATAAATCGTGGATCGTGATAATGTCTACTCATTGTGGGCCGCAGACAGTAGATAAATGTCACAGAATATAACCCCGTTCGCTGTACTGAGCACTAAATTTAAGTAAGCTACGCTACTCCGAGTCTGACTGTGTCAGTGATTGTTTTGACGAGAAACTCTGAAATTTTCCTGGAAAATGAAACGCTTTATCCCACCGATACTGTGGTAAAATGCATGCTGTGTACAGCTCTAAAAATTGTTCTCTGAGATCGCATAAACATCAACTGCACGGAGATATTAAAATAAGATATTTAGCAGCTATGGAAAATGTAATTACTTTCACGCGATTTTGATGTCTTATAAAACGGACAACAACTTCAACAGAAATACGCGCGAACTGAATTAACTGTCTGCATGCTATGTCAGTTTCTGCTATAACTTACACATTGACGACTGAACTGTTGGAATTGGAAGGCTGGCAGTTAAATGCGAAAATTTAAATGGGTGCTATGGTAGATGCGTTACATTCAGGTTATATGAAACTGTTGAAAGGGTTGCTAGGTAACAAAAACATTATATAAGAGGGATTATCTGTCGTTATAAAAAATGTGATATAAGCGGGTTTTAAGCTACGTTACTCTAAAGTTTCCAAGTACATATCGGTTTCTGTGGGAACATGAACTTGCTAATTCGTTTCTTCTGTTGAGGCTGCACAGTTCTTTTTTACAGATGATTATGAACTTTTCATTCAGGCAAAGACTACATTTTTTGCTGATGTAGCTGTAAGGTTTATATTTCTTAAGAATTTTCCATTTAATCTGAAACGGTTTCTTTTCGTTTTGTAAGTTCCAAACATATTTGGAGAGTTCTGTTTCATTTCTTCTTTTCAAGTGTCGAAAGGATGTTTTGTGGTTCCTGTAACGTTCCTTAAAGTTTGTGGCTAGTCCAACGTAGGTTTCAGTTGCTGTCTCAGTAGTAACTGTGGCTTGATAGATGACGTTAGTTTGAAGGCATTTTCTTTCTAATGGGCAATCAGACTTCTTCCTACAAATCAGGATAGTGCTCAATATATATATCAATATATATATATAGGTAGGATCAATGCTCATCTCACTTAGGATTAAGTCATTTAAGTATATAGTTAATAGACAGAGCCATGGAAGGGAGCGAGTTGCGGGAGAAGGAGGGACAGTGGATGTATAGAGTGGGAACGCTGCGCCCTCAAGGACTTAATGAGGATGATGGTTTTTACGCCCAGAACCGAAAGACGCGCGTAGGCGCGCGCAGGAGATGATAATATCATCTCGGACATTTTTCGTTAGACATTTAAAATAATAGTCATTTTAGTTGTGATGCGCGCGCGGTGCCTTGGCCATTCAGCAAATTTAAAAGTGCTGTACGTTAACGGCTAGTTAAGAAGATCATTGAATGTGATCGAAATATAGGTGGATTGAAAGGAAACTGTTGTCTGTCTTCATTTGTGATTAAGATATATATATATATATTTAGTATATACACACTCATTGATCTTGGTGATTCAAGCAATCTGATTGGTTCGCTATCTCGGACTCTGACGTTATATTCACCGCCTAGAGCGGTGAATATAAAGAAGAACAAAATCGCTGTCTTGAACTGGGTGTTTTGCCAAAGTTTCATAGCAAGAACTTTTTGAAAATAGTGGAATATCCAAGTGTTGATGACTTTGAAGGTAAGAATTCATGGTGTTTAAACAGCGTGATTTGTTGTGAAGTGGTTTACTGTAGCTGACTTTTTGCATGCTCGAAGCTATGTTTTAATACCCGTACTGACAGAAGAAAACGAGGCCGCTTTGTAACTGTTTTGTGATTTCGGGATTATCTCGCGAGACCAATTTTGCCTATAAATAGAAGTTAATTTATGGAGAAAAAAGGAAGGCAAATATTTTCGAAAATTGTACGTGCCAGCAAGTTAACAAGGCAAAGAACACTGCAGATAAACAACGCTCACCTTGATCGTAGTCGCTGTTGACAGTATTTGCAAGAAGCTTCAAAAAAAACTTTCTCTTTCACGGTGAGTTGACAGAAACAAGTGAAGCTCTACTTTTCTTCTCAGAATTGGGTGGTAATTTAAATTTTCGGCGTTTTCTTTTAAATCGTTGATGCTAAAGCTTACAAAAATCGATACAAAAAGATTAAAACTATCATTTACCATGTTTGAGGATATTGCAAAGATCTAACTTTACCGCATCCACTGTTTACGGCTTCGTGTTACGCATGAATTCACCCGTCAATTAAACTAATCGTTTTTTAATGGTTTCCTTTCTGATTCTGTTGAGATCACTTCGTGTGAATATACTAAAACAATTATTCACCTCATCAGGCTCAGTTAATATTGTTGAATAATCCCCTTGACTTCGTCTTCGTCTCATAGGGGGCTTGCTGTCCTGGTTGGTCTCATTGTCAAGCTCAGTCCCTGAGCTAACTCGCCATGGGTTGCGAAGGGGCCTCAATGTCAATCTCTAGTGGGGGGGGGGCTGCAAAAAAGTGGTACTGTCCGTTAGTCTTGCTCTGGGAGAGTCAGTGCACTCGTCATATCTGCCTTTAGTTTTTCATGTCAAATTCTTTTTTTGTTTGAGGCCCATTGGCCAATGAAAGCATTCCCCTCAAGCTCGTGATAGGCTGGGGGGGGAGGAAGTCAGGGGGATGATTTAACCTTGAATTCTGTTTTTAGGGCGGAGGGTGCTGCAAAAGCGTGGTACTGTCCGTTAGTTTTGCCCTGGAGAGTCAGTGCACTCGTCATATCTGCCTTTAGTTTGTCATGTCAAATTCTTTTAATGTTTGAGGCCCATTGACCAATGAAAGCATTCCCCTCAAGCACGTGATAGGCTGGGGGGGGGGGAGGAAGTCTGGTGGATGATTTAACCTTGAATTCTGTGCTTAGAACTTGGTTAAGTCTCAAGCATCCTCTGTCATTTGGAGCCTTCAAGCAGCTAGAATGTATGGCCAAGTCCAGAGTGTCTTTTTGGTGGACTTGAATGTTTCTTTTGCTAATCAGGAACCAAGAAGAGAGTCACCTTAAGAGAACCATGGGTAAGAGCTGAGTTTTTGGCAATATTTACGTTAGTTGAGTCAGTTTGTAACCGAAGTCACGCGTATTAGTGTCCAACCGCTTTATTTTGTAAATCACACTCTTACGGTACTGTACA